GAATCCAAGATGGCTCCTGCCTTCTTCTCGTTCGTCTTTTTCCCTTTTCTGTCGTTGGATGTTCTGCGCTGAAGTCACGTCCTAATTTCCTTCATTCTCAGGTTTCGGCACCCAACTTTTTAACAGTGTGGAATTAGGGAAAGGACTCATTGTTTTTTAGTGTAACAGAACTTGGTTTATTTCTAGTGAAAACTGATTCAAGTAAAGCGAGCGAAGGCACGTCCACCTTCGACCGTCGGTCAAACAAGAAGGGAGAAGTGGCCCGCACAAAGCAAGGTCCAAAAGGGGGGCTCGTCATTTATGACCCCACAGTGGGGCGCGCTCTCCTTGCGGCTCCCCGTCCCTCTTCGCAGTTTCCTAGAAAGGGGCCGGTGCCTCGGTCTCGGCTTGTCCTCGAAGTCGTTTGCCGCTCTTTCTTCCCTGCTCGGGCATCTCCAAGTTTTCTTCTTTTTATTTTACAACAGCCTCTAAAGGCGTCCTTTTTTGTCTATGGAGGTAGGAAGCTTCTGGAGGCAACATGAGGTTACCAGGGGTGAAGCCAGAAGCGTGAAGGGACATGCCTCCAATGATAACCAAAAACCAAGAGATGCTATTGGACAGCTGTTGAGCCAGCTCTCCTTTTCGTCCACAAGCGTCTCTTGGTTTTTGCTCATCGTTGGGGGCGTCGTGTCTCCTCCAGAAGCTTCCTACCCCCATGCGAAACGGCGCCTTGTTGTTTGCAGACCGGTGGCGTCGCTGCGTTTCCATAGGAGCTAAGCCTTTTTCTTTCTTTACTTTTTCCTCAGTTTAATTCACTCTTTTGCAAATTTTACAAAAAAAAAATGCACCATCCGTGGGCAACGCTGCACAGAGTCGTAGTGCGATAGGTTAAGAAAGCTAATTTTCCGGTCGATTTAAAGAGCCTGGCGTCTCCTTGTATCACCCTGTAGAATGCTTTCTTGCTGCACTTGTGAAGACAATTGTATCTGTTTTTGTATTTTATCCTCGCAGTACATGTATTGCAGTATTTGTGCTCCAGAATAGGTTTTCGAGTATATCTGACTAGCCCTGGCTATCTTTTTCCTGGTGGGCAGCTTCTATATAGCATATAGATGGTCTTCGTCCCAAATTCAGAGGCTAGAAGTACTCGATTTCATGTGGCAGACTACCTTAAAATACCGAGCAAGTGCCCACTCAAAATTTGGAGATAATCACAAACCATTGGGGGATGGGTGCTTGTTAGGTCATCATATTAACATGTATATATGTGTACTGTGCACATTTTTTTTTTCTTTCAAATGTTATAAAATTTGGGGTTGGGCGTTTGGAATGGGCAGACGCTCTAAGCACTAGAACAGCGACCACGATCATCATTCTTGACCCCAAGTACACATGGTTTAAACTTTCAATGTTATTTTACACTAATAGGTATGGGTTAAACTAGTTGGTACGTGTCTGCTATATGCGTTGGCTTGTACAAAATACACAAACACACAAAAGAAGGAATGGGGCTCTGACCGCTGTCTATCAACTAAGGTTTACTACTCCTTCCTCTTTATTCCTGTTTACTGGGACCACTATGTGTACACTTTTTTTGATGGCTACTTAAAAATGATTACCCCTCTCATTGGATTCATATGTGCAATGTTTGACAAGTAGTGAGCCTGCTTAAAAATAAGCAAGCACATTAGAAAAGAACCATGCCAGTGTGTAGTTTTACTTTTCCCACATCATTTTAACAGCAATCCATCGAGCTTGGCATGTTGTCAAATTGTGAGCCACCATTGTCGAGAAACATCACAGAAAACTTGGACGATGCGACTTTCCTCCAAGACATTTTACCTTGTCTCATTGCCTGCCCCGCAGTTCCATGAATGTGACTTAGAACTCTTATGCCTTGGCACCCTACTCACTGGATCTGGCACCATCAGACTTTCATCTATTCCCTGCGCTCAAACAAGATCTGTAAAGACAGCCGCTCCAGCAAGGAAGCCGTTATAGACGCTGCACGTGAGTGGTGTGAGGACCAAGAGAAATGACTTTTTTCTCAGTGGGTGGGCTCCACTAGAAGCGCATAACACTCAAAGGAGACTTTGCAGAGAAATAATAAAGGGCCATTTGCATGTGACAGTCCCATCAAAAATAGGCTCACTACTTCTCAAGCTTCCCTCGCAGACAGGTTGTGTACCAATCTTTAACAACTTTCTACAGTACTAGCCCACAGTTCTTCGTTATGCTTCATATTTTTTGTTGGGTGTATTTGCGCGCCTTGTGTTGCACTGCCAGTGCTCGTGATGTATACTTGCTTTCGTGCTTGCCTGCTTGCAAGTGCAATGTGCCTGAAATAAATGGATGGATTTCTAAAGTTGTGTGCAGGGAGTTTTGTTGTCGGGTCCGCTGCATATATAGTCGACCATGCTGATCATCTGAGAATGTCTTGCCTCGTATATTTTCCCTACTGGTTTCAGAAAAATTAGGCATTCCATGATTTGACTGCACATGGCCCAGTGTAGGTCATGCAGCCAGAAGTGTCAGTATTCTGTAGTGGAAATTTGGGTTGATGGAACCTCGCAAGTGGTTAACATCACCAAGTTTGGAAAAGAGGACAAACTGAGATGAGAGTGCTTATTTTTGTAGCTGCTGGAAACAGAAACGTCAATGGCAATGTGCCCAACATGTAGTGCATCTTTTTGCGGCTGCATTTTGAAACCCTGTTGCTGAAGCAAAGTTCACGCTAGCCGAGCTCGGTTTCCCTTTATGTCTAGACTACCTATTCACCAGTGAGGTGCCAGTTTGGCCAGCTTTTTGTAGTCGCAAAGAAAGATGGAGGTCAGGCAGGCAAAGCCAGCCCTCGCACAGGGGGGCTATGTTGCACGTTTTGGACTCCCAGGAGACTAGGGAGAAGGAAGTGACGTCAACAACGCTCGCTGGATGTTGATTGGTGTAGTCGCTGATGACAGTATCTGCAGAAGTTGCCAAGACACGTTCATTCAGACCTACGTCACTTCCTTCTCCCTAGTCTTCTGGGAGTCCAAAACGTGCAACATAGCCCCCCTGTGTCGAGCACAGGCTCCAAGTCACTCGGGCAAAACTATCGGAGGCTTGCGGACATGTGTGAATACAATCCTATGAAGATATTCTGAGGTAAGCATAGCTAGGTCAAATGTGACACCTGCTGTCTGCAGCATGCGTACACATAACAGTGGGCATATCACATTGCAGAGGCTAATTGGTAAGCACAGCGAGGACGACCCTTGACATCAACCAATTCATTCACACACGTGCCCAGTCGTCGCTGCAGGTGAGGACGATGACAGTAGATGGCCAGTCGGCTTGTGGAATATTTTCTTACTGCCCGCTTCCTTCGCTAAATTTGTAACAATCGCTACGTCACTTCGCGTCACTCCACTGTGGGTGTACGAGTGCGTGCACGCTGCCCGCGGACATGCTTCAGCCCCTCGAGTGATCGCGCAAAAAAAAAAAGCACTGGTCGAAGCAGCTGCGTTTACGCTTTAGTACCTTTTCCAGTGGAGCACAAAAAAGCTGACATCGGGTATAGATCAATTTCGCCGCAGGCTTACAGGCTTGACAATGCACTTCTCCATTTCGACTAGCTGCGGGGAGCGCGATTGATTCTTGCAGAGGCGTGACAGTGTATATGCAAAGCACAATTCAGACGTGCACTCGCGGTCCAGATCACCGCTTGTGCTCCGTTGGCGTCTCATACGTACCTGGCGCGATTCCTGTTGAGGCCAGCAACGGGCGAATGATGTTACACCCGTGAATAATGCTGCCAAGGGGCGAGTTGGGCATCGCTGTAGGGCAGACTACACAACACCGCAGCGGCGCGTCGTTCGAATGAAATAAAACAATAGCTACACTGGACGTTTTAGCGAAAGCCAAACGAGCTGGGTTTATTTTCAGGCCGTAAATGACTTCGGAACGCTGGCAGCGGTCACGGGTCCTTAGGCCTAAACACACCCTTCCGCCCTGGCGTACGTGAACGTTACGGCAGAAAGCATAAAACGGCCGTAGCGTAGCTGCCCAGTCAGCATTGAGACCTGTGCGCGTATGTTATCCAGTTTCACACCAACGATACCTTCCAATATCTAGGACTGCACCAATGCACTTTTTCGACTGGGGCGCGGAGTACTCCAAAACAAAACAGTACGGCGTCTGCTCAACGGCGGTGGCGGGGGGGAGGGGGGCTGCACGCAGCTTAGAACAGCCCGTAGCGCAGGCGTACCACGTGACTGCGCCAGCCAATCGCGGTATTCTTCCCTCCTCCCTTTCCTCCTCTCTCTCCTTCTTTTCTCTCTCGCGGGGCTCTGCCGGGGGGGGTCTCATAATACGCGGCCCGGCCCATGTTGCTGGTGTTCCGGCGTCAAGTTGTTGGGAGGAATTGGCTCGTCTGAAGAGTTCTTTTACGACCAGATTGTGTTAGAGAGTAGCACATCGTAATTCTTTAGTGACATTGTTGCGGTATGCACTAAAACATTTAAGTTTCTCCGGCTCGTACAATAATTTTTTATAATTCATTTTGCATAGCGTATTTGGTGCTACCCATGGCTTCCGTGCCTTCTTTAGCACTTTCCAAGGTTTTGTCGGAAAATGAATATAAAATAGAGGAATAAACTGTTTCGTGGATGTGTCATAACCCTCGTCGGCATCTTTTTTTTAAGAAATACAGCAAAATCGGCTAATTAGAATGTTAATAAAAATTTTAAGATATAAAAAGTTTTGAAAGCAACGACATATTCACCTTGAGAGAGCCAATTAAAGTTTCAGTTTCGTATCTCTCCAAAACGGCCAATTCTCGCCGAAGTAGAGGTTCGAACTTAATTGGCCTTCAAAGCGCAAATTTTGGGCTATTTCAGAACCATTTTGCACCGTAATGTTTCTTGATAAATGTCCCTAATGGCCAGTAAAAAAAGATAAAAGGAAAAAGTAAGTTTGTTTTTTAACCCGTCACACCTTTTTTTTTTTCTTTTTCTTTTTGCTCGGAAGCATACTTAACTTACTCTGTTCAGGGTGAAATTCGAGCTTGCTGTATATGGCATCCACCAGATGATCTGAGAAGTCGCAGGTCTTGCACCGTTCCCTCCAGTCCTGCCAGTCCTTGGGCGTCGCCCTCGAGTGGATGAGGCAGTACAGGTTGGAGCTACCCCCGAGAGCCTTGCCCCGTGGCCACGGCATCCTCTGGGGTAGCAGAGAAGATGTAATCGTCCTTCGAACCTTACTGTGGAAGCTCCTAAAACGATCCCTTCCCCAACACCGGAATAAGGCTTCTCTTTTTCTTTTTTTTTGCCATGCAGATATGTGGCATCATTTATGGACAGTTCTACGGGGGGTGCACGTATATGTGTGGAAGTGTGAACTCTAAGGTATGAGTTAGTTTGGACACCACGGATTGAGGATATTGGGAAGACGGCGCCGCCTGCGACCGAACTTATCGAAGCGAACACAATTTGGAGGCAAATATGACAAGTTCTCAATCTCAAACCACACACACACACAAAAAAGGTTTTATTGGGTTGGCCAGCCTTTTGCTTGAGCAGTTCCATTTGGAATCCCGTGAGCAAAATGGTAACTACTGGGCAACTTCTAAAACAATATTTGTTAAGGGCTTCCTTCAACCACAGCCGATCATTTGTTGGGATTACGTGGAAGGGGTGGCAGCCTCCCTTACCTTTATTTGTAGTCCCCAACCGCAACTGCAACCTGCCACACCGGTCACCGTAGTGAATGTACGTGCGAACTATTCTTGAGAATATGGAACAAAGCCAAACAATACTCCGGCGGGCTGCAGCTTAAACTCTGGTGCTGCAACAAAACTCTGGATGAGATTGCGAAGAATGAGCCTGCAATAGTTAGCCCGCCGAACGCAACATCGGCCTGTCCATTGCACTAGCGTATATGCCATGTTGGTGGTTTTAAAAACAGCTTCTGAGCCGTGAGGAAAAAAAAAAAAAAAGCAAAATTACAACTCGGCGTTCGTGTGTTCTGGCTGCCTTCATCCCGGACTCCCGGTCTCTGCAAACAGGCCACGTGCCAGACCTTAGGCCAACTTGCCTGCTCGCGGTAGCTGTGCAAGGCGTCCTTCTGTGGCACGGTGAGGAACTGCCAGTCGATGTCGCTGGCCTGCAGAGCGACGGCGGCCAAGGGCACGGAGGCGTACCAGGGTGCCTCGCCGTGCCCGGCCTCCAGCAGGAGCACACTCGGAGCGTCGCCGCCGTCCCGGTCGGCCTGATCCAGCAGCCGTCGGGCGAGCACGCAGCCCGCAGTTCCGGCGCCCACTTCGAAGATGGGAAGATGTCGCAGTTCGTCGTTAATTCTTGCTTTCAATAGACTTCTCTCACTTCGGATATAAGATTCGGGTTGGGATCCATGGCTCCGACATGTATTGTTTTGTGCGGTTTTCTCATTTCATTTGAATCACACGGTTCATTCATTCGCATATCTCGATTCTGCTATTTCGGCACTGTTCCAGTATGCCGCGAGAGGCCAGCACCTCATGGAGCAGGAGCTGTGTTGAGTCATTCTCTACCGGGGCTGCCTTTGAGTAGCAAAATCCCCCGCCATTTTATATAATAAAGTTTATTTCCCATTCGATACAGGAATGGAGGAAACAGAGGGAAAAAGCTGTTTAACAGCTTGACGAAGCCCCCTGCTCCCTTACAGTTCCACATGACAGATTAGAAATACAAAGCAACAGCAAAAATATCAACATTGTATACAAAAATAGATTATAACCTATCGCAGAAAAGTAATATATTCAATTCAAATAAGAAAATAAATCTTGCATTGTGACAGACATTATATCAACGTTTTTGTTTAAGAGGAAATTTAGTAAAGTAGGTAGCATATACTTTAGAGACTGCATGGAATAGTTGTTATGGCAAAGAGGCACAGCCCAACGTGCCGCGGAACGAGTTGGATAGGAGGTAACATGTTCCCTTAGTTTAGAAAGTTTGGCCAAAATATCCACGTTTCTTTTTTTTTTTTTCTACCTTAAAACGGACCATAAGTTTATATGTATACATATCGCAAACACGCAACAAATTATATTTTTCAAACAAGCCCTTGGAGCTTGAAATATAAGAAACATTAGCAATGAGGCGAACAAATTTTTTTTGTAATAGATGTATTTTTTGTAGATTTGAACTGGTGGTTGTACCCCATACCAGGTGGCAGTAGTTTAAGTGGGATGCAAATAGAGTTTGAAAAATAAGTAGTTTAACGTTGTTTGGTAAAATAAAACGGTTTCGTGAGACTAATCCGATGACCCTGGACAATCGAGGAAGTATATAGCTTACATGGTCGTCCCAAGACAAATACTGGTTAAAAATGACGCCAAGACTTTTGAAATTTTCCACTATCTCTATAACCTTTGAATTTATTACGATACTTTTCGTTATAAAAACGCTTTTACTTTTGGTTCGAAAGAAAATTGCTTTGGTTTTACTACTATTAATTTTAAGCCCGTTGTCGGATGTCCAATTTTGCAAACCTGTTAAAGTATCATTTCGAGAAGATCATGGAGACTACTCTCATGGAAATTCCCAGAACGACCCAACATCGCAGGTGCTGGCCTCTCGCGGCACACTGGAACAGTGCCTAACACCACAGATGGTTTCTTGCTAAGCCATGGCAACCAATGTGCTTCGGGCAACTAAAATAAATTCACAATATACACGTTGCAAGATACAGCATTTATAGGTGATCGATTCATGTTAGGTAAGTCAATTGTGAAGAATTTTATACGAAGGACACACACGTTGCTTTAATCATCCGCCGTAAGAGTAACAATATCGAACACCGATTAACACGTGCATGGCATAGCAGGATCGCCTAAAGCTTCTACAAGCTCGGTGCGACACTCCCTAGCATTGCTATAGATGCTTTGCAGCAGCTGTGCATGGACGCCGCAATAACTGACCTTCAGTTTTTGTTTCCTCTTATTTCGTTTATTTCACTTCATCATTACCATAGCAGGCCAGGTTATTCCCATATTAGATTCAACTGTGTCCTTTTCTAAAGCATCGGCCTTTGTAGAGGATCGTCAACTACCGTTTCAGTTGCTCGGCATCTCGGTAAGACAAGAGAAGGTCAGCAATGGCGGCTGTAATTTGGCGCGTGTGTAAAGCGTCTATACCGTATAGATCACTCCTATTTAAATGTATGAACCTTGATCCAGCCGACTAACATCTATTTCCGACGACGGTTGAAAACGCAGTGACGTTTTCCCTCTTCTGCCTTCGTAATCCTTGAACGTCGATGCCATCTTGTGGCGTCCAAAGAAAGCAGTGAGTTCGATGTGCCAATGCCATGTCTTCAAATCCCGGTTGAATCTTGTGATTCGTCAGTATACACCTTTGCAAGTGGGATCCCGGCTTAACCTCGAACCGCGCGCCAAGGTGAGGCGGACCTACTCTCCAGCCAGGACGTTCGCTGGTTGTCGTACAATGTTGCCAAGCGTCTCTCGCCGAAGCGCACACCACTGAGCGCAGAAAGAAATTTTAAAAAATAATTATAAAACGTACACGTGTCGTCTTCGACAGCGAAATAGCAAGGACAATTAAATAAAATGCCTAAAGCGGTAACAAATCGAAAATTTTCAAAAAGATCTAAAGTCTCAACGCGCTCTCTTCAGAATGCGCCAAAAGTCGCATGGCCTTTGCATCAACGATGGCTGCGCTCGCGGCAGCTCTGGCTTCCACAACATGCAGGAACAGAGGCTTCGATCGTTATAAAGTCAGCTCCAACCCTTAAAGATGCCCCGTCCTACAATATGTGACGCTACGATTCTGTGTGGATACCTCCTCCTGCGTTCCGAGACAGTAAGTGAGCCGCAAACGGCACCATCTTGTCATCGCGCACCCCAATGACGTGCCCCTGGCGCACCCCAGCATGGCGGAAACTGTACGGGGCGCCAGCATCGCTCAAAATGGCAGCGCACAGGAGCCTTTCTTGCAAACGTCTATAGAAATGTTGCCATGACTTGGTTCTGCCCACGGTGGTTCTGCCCGAGTTCCACTAAAACGACAGATAGAAACAACCGATACAGATCATCCTCAAGCACTCGCAACATGCACGCGAAGTTATCTTTGGCAAGCTTGCATTCTCGCGGCACCCGAGAAGTGAGCACGAATGATCGCAAACCTGCCAAAGGTACCTTCGCGTGCCTACAGCACGTGCCTGTGGTTGGTCGGTGTCGGTTATTTCTGTTTGTCGCTCCAATGCAGGGGCCTCAAACTCATTCGGGCGCGGGAGGGGCCAGGTAGCCCCCGGAAAAATTGAAGGCCGACGCATGGCGGGTTGGGAGGGGCTTGGGAGGGGGGAGGGGGGAGGGGGGGGGGGGTGGAATAGCAGCAGTTGTTATCACGTTGCAAAGTAGCCGAGTTTCTCAGCAGTACATTTGAGATTTCCGAGAGAAGGGAGCTCATGCTTCCTGCTTTTCGTAAACTCCCCGTGTAGCGGTCACATTTTTAGCTTTCATTTCTTTATGTGATAGGATGATTTATAATGACACCGTGCCGCTAACGCGCTGGTATTTTCCAATGCAACAAGAGAGCAAGCACACTGTCGCTGTTATGTCGCTCAATTCTCTCGAGAACTGATCAAATTCAACAACAGGAAACAATGGCTAAACCACCCGTCTTTCTATCAGGTGCCGACTACGCTGCTGACCTGTGCGGGGCACGCACAAAGCAAGGATCACCACGTCACCGAGGCTGCCTGTAAGGGCATCGGCCCAAGATACATACATCTACGACAAGATAGCGGAGCGGGAACAGCAGTACTGATTGGTATGCACTCTAAAAAAAGCGCGTGCGTCTACTTTCCCGCAACACTCGGAGAGCCAATCACCGCACCTAACAAAGGCAGCTCAGCGAATGACGATGCCGAAACATATGTTTAGACCAAAAAACGCAGGCTGAGTTGTGACATTAAGCCATGCAAAACGTCACGCTTCCATTGTTTAATGTCACAACTCAGACTGCGTTTTTTTGGTCTAAACATATGTTTCGGCATCGTCATTCGCTGAGCAGTGCCTCCGTAAGTTCTCGTGATTGGCTCTCCGAGTGTGTTGCGGGAAAGTATACGCACGGGCTTATTTTAGAGTGTATACTGCAAGAGTCATCTTCACAAAGAAATCTTTCGGTATACAGCGCTGCTGGCGCTGCCTGTAAAGAAGCACATCCCTTGGATCGGCGACTAAAGGTTCGGCACTCCGTTCATAGGACACAGTGGCTAAACTTCCCGTATATATATATATATCAGGTTAGCTGAAAAACAGTATCTAAATCGTTTAGAACTAGCATTTCGTGCCTGGTAGTTGTGCCGAGCCCAAGGTATACTGTCTTGTTCCGTTGAATGATTGTGCATGTGTGCTTACCTTTTGGTTTGTTTGGATGTCGATCGAGACAAACCCATGACCTACTGATCATGAGCTTCTCGTTCAAAAATACGTGAAAACATTTCCACATTTTTGCTACGGACAACAAGCCTCGAGGAAAAAGTGGTTCATTTGACCACTATAGGATTACAGCGACTGAATCTCGATTGGAAGAATGTTGAAGAACTTCCACACGTGCAAGCTCTGGAACATAAGATCAATTATCTAGAAAATAGGGAACGAAGAAACAATCCTATCATAAATGGATTACCTGCAAATGCTAACGAACCCCAGTCTACCCTTAGTAATGTGGTGTTAAAAGAAGTACTTCGGGATAGGCTGGGAGTTCGTGTATCTAGTATGGAACGCGTCCACCGGTTGGGAAAGCCCATGCATCCACCGCTGACATCGCCCTGTGATACTAAAACTAATCGATTATCGCGAAAAAAAAATATATATATATATATACTTCAGAGTGGAAGAAAATTAAAGGGCACTTGTATCTTAATCGGAGAAGACTTCTTTTCAAGAAGTTTCATTAGCAAACTCCTTAAAGAATAAACAGAGATCTCTATTCATGGGACTAGTCTCCGACAAGAATGAGACGGTTAAGTTAGGCTCGGGTAACCAGGAGGAGACATGTCCCATGGCGTGACGCAGCCCCCAGGAGGAACGATGAGAATTGAGAATTGTGTGCCTTAAAGCAAGGAGTGTTGCAAATAAAAGTTATCAATTGGCGGCTGTTATGTTTTTCTACGGCCCACATGTTTTAATGATAACTTAAACATGGCTTCGTGACTCAGATCAGTGGTACCCCCAAACTATGTAGGCTGATACAAATAGATAGAAGCTCCCGATGTGGCGGAGTCGCTATGGCCATGAAGGACAATTTAAGTA